TAAATAAATAAATAAATAAATAAATAAATAAATAAATAAATAAATAAATGTGAGCACCAAAACGTAGCATCTGAAAAACGTTACTGATGTTTTCCCAGGGGGACTGGTTTTATTATGAGGAATAACTAAAATTGTAAAGCAAATTTCTATGATTATTCCATGCTCTTGGAAGACTTTTTATATTTATTTTCTTCAAAAGATGGATGTGGCCCATCTGCCTTGGTGAATAAAAAACACAAAAATTAAATTTGAATATTTATCCATTTACATTATATTGCATCACACACATGGTGGTAAAAAGACTTCAGAAGTACTTAAAATATCTCTTAGTGGTTTTAGTGTTTATCTTAAAAATAAATCAAATAGAAATGTTAACTTCTCATAAAACCTTCTAACTGTTTAAAGCCCTCTCCATATATAACAAGTTTACAGAGCAAAGAGGTTGGCCACCATTAATCAGTACATAATTGATAAATGATAAAATTGCTCATCTATGTGACCAAAATAGAGCAACAAATATCGCTCATACAATGATACGTATTATAGCACACAAAACTACACCAAGTAATTTTCAAATTGTCAAACAACAAAGCTATATTGAATATAAAGTCTTTGTACTGGAAATTCTAAAGTGCAATTTATTTATTTGTGGTTTCCCCAGATTTACTATGGTGAACAATAGAAAATTAAAGCATAATGGCCAGCAGTTGAGTTTCTAAATTCAAATCTATGTCCAATAAGCTGTTTATATATTGCCATCATATTAATATTTGTGTCCACCAAAAATTCACCTACTAAATCCTAAGGTCTGATATGATGGTGTTAGTAGGTAGCTCCCAGGGAGGGAGATTAGGTAATGAGCATATTCATGGACTAGAATAGCCATTATTAGATTGGTGTCAATTTCCCCCAGATTTCTATATTTGATATAACCTCAATAAAAATCCTACCTGAGTTTGTTTTGTTTGGGGTAGAAATTGACATTACCTGTTTCAAAATTTGTATGGAAAAACAAAGGGCAAAGAAGAGCCAAGAAAAATAAACAAAGAAAAACTGACTTGCTACATATCAAGATCTAGAGTAAAATGATTATAATTGTCTATTATTACTGACGTAGTGAGAGAGAAAGAGATCACTTGGGACAGAATAGAGTGTACAGGAGAACCATATGATATGGGCTTATAATAAATAGTACTGTGTACCTGTGTGAGTCAAAAAACTGAATCTGCACTCCTACTTTACCTGAGTAACTTGAGTTATATTATAGCTCCAAATATGAAAGAGAATCAATTTTTAGAATAGTTTCATGACCCTTAGAGCAAGAAAAACAAAAAAGATAGATCTGACAAATTTACTAATCATAAAGAAATAAGAAGTTGGATAATATTAAAGTTCAAAACATTATCCTGTAAGATTAAGAAAGTGAAAAGTCAAGCAATACAATGGAAAAATATTTGCAATACACATAATTGGCAAAATTTTCTTTCCTGAATATATAAAAAATATTCTCCAAATGAGTACTTAAAAAAAAAAACCACACACACACAATAGGAAACTGGCCAAAAATACTGAATGTTTCAACAAAAGAAAATACACAGGAGAATACCCTAACAGATTATAATAATGTATTCCACATTATTAGTCATGTAGCAAAGAAATGAAGGGAAGGAGGCAGGGTGGCAGACAAGCACTACATATATTGGTGGAATACAAAAAAAGTGGATCAACAGCTAGGGTAAACAGTATGGATGTTCCTCATAAAATTAAAACTAGAACTACAGGGCCCTCCCTGGTGATGAAAACGGGTTAGGACACAGCACTGCAAGCTAGTGGCAGCCGCTTCAGTGTGAGTTCAATCCCTGCCTCCGATGATCCAAAAGGCATAGCAGACCTCTCCTGTCCCACCTGCTGCTCCCCTCAGCAGTGTGCTTCCTCCATCTGCCTGTTCTGCTCCCCATTCTGACTCTGGTGAATCCTCACAATGCCCCTGCACCTCTGGCCTGTACCCCAGTTCTGTATAAATAAATAGATAAAAATTTAATACTAAAACTACCATGTGCTCCAGGAATCCCACTTCTGAGCATATGTATCCTAAATAACCAAAAGCAGGGCCCTGTACAGCTATCTGCACACCTATGTTGACCGCAGCATTGTGCATTGAGCACAGGGGTGGAAGAAAGCCAAAGTTCATTGACAAAACGAATAGACAAAATGTGGCATATACTCAATGGAAAGTCAGATTTAGAAAGACCATAAGGCTATAATGCTAAGTGAAATAAACTTGTCACAAAAAATTAATGAAGTACGATTCCACTTTCATGCTGTATCAAATGTAGTCAAATTTGTAGAAACATAAAGTAGACTGGTGGGTACCAGAAACTGAGGAAATAGCAATTTAATTCTTGAGATTAAGATTTGCAAGACAAAAATGTGCTGGAGATACACAAAAATGTGCTGGAGATACATTGCACAACACTGCAAATGTACCCAATAATACTGAACTGTGTATCTAAAATGGCAAAGATGTTGAGTTTTATATTACAAGACAAAATAAATGTTACTTTTATTTTAAATTGAGGTAATACTGATTTATAACTTTGGATTGTCTTTTGAAGATCCAGAATCTTACCTTTTAGGTGTTTAAAACACCACCCACCACCAACACACCCAAAGGAGTATTTTTTTGGTAATGATTTATTTACTTATGCATACAAGGACTGCACAAGGGAAGAGGTGCAGGGCGAGTGAGAGGATTCACCAGACATAGAGTGGGGAGCAGACAGGCAGATGGACTGAAATACACTGCTGAGGGCAGTTGTGGGCAGGACAGGAGAGGTCTGCTGTGCCATGTGGGTGATCTCCCTGGCTGGGGATCAAACTCGTGCTGCAGTGGTTGCAAACAGCTTGTTAATGCTGTGCCTTAAACCTGTTGTGCCATCAGG